TTAGCTTTGTAATATAAATACATTGGTCATAGTTCACTTCAAGATCCATTTATCTATCTTGTCAAGCATCATTGATCTCTCCCTTTTCTGACTAATTCTGGAAGTTATTATTGGTATTATATATTTCAATGTTTTATTTTACTCAGTTTAGTATTTTGTTTTATATAAGTAACTCCATTCAACAAATAACTTTGTGTTAATTATGTGTAGGCTTATTAATCTGGACACCCTAATGCATTTTCCAAAATAAATAATATTATAAAATGGTAATTAGAACCCCCCAGAAAAATTTATTCAACATATTATATAGTTCACATGGTTCATCTGAGATGACAAACAGTAGAAACATAATGTTCTCACAGTATTAGTAATTAGGGGCTGGAGAGATAGCTCAGTGGTTAAGAGCACTGGCTGCTCTCGTAGAGGATGCAGGTTCAATTCCCAGCACCCATATGGTGGCTAACAACTGTCCATAACTCCAGTTCCAAGGGATCTAATGCCCTCTTCTGACCTCCACAGACATTGCACAACATGGGTGCACTTACATACATGCAGGCACATAAAATAAAATAAAATACTCATACGCATAAAATAAAAATAATAATTTTTTTAAATATTAGTAATTAGAACAGAGGAAATGCAAAGTTTATTAAAATCCTTGAAATATGAATGCTAGCACTTAAGGAGAAAATGATCTAAGTTGAAGGATAATTAAGGAATAGGAGCAAGACCTGGGAATTCTTTTTTGATATAATGTTTTATTTTCTTCTTGAAGAATTTCATATATACATGCAATCTATTTGGATCATAACCATGTCCACACTCCACCCCAAGTTCCCCCAAACCCCACCCCTAACACATCTCCCTCCCAACTTCATGTCCTCTTTTTTTTTTTTAATAACCCACTGTAGCCCAATTAGAGCTGCTGAGATGTGCATAGGTGTGGGGCTATCCACTAGAGCCTGGTCAAACTACCAGTGGCCATATTCTTGAAGAAAACTGACTCCCCATCTCCCAGCAACTGTCAACTTCCAGTAGCTCCTCAGCTAGGGATGGGGCCTCATGCACCCCCTTTCCCATCCACTGGCTGCTGTAAGTTCATGAATGCAAAAGCCATAAGACATGGGAATGCTTAAGAAACTTCTAGGCAAGCAGGTAGTTGGCATTTATTAGCCACACATAATTTCACTCATAATTTTAACTTTTGTTTTAGATGTATTATCAGCATTATTCTTTATTAGTACATGACAAGATAGTTTCCTTCAGAGACTCACTGATTAGAAAGCAGTTCTTGATGGGAATTAAGCAAAAGTAGAAAGCCCAAAGAGTTAAGACGGCACTAGGAAAAAAAGTCTATGTGGCTGAATTAACTAAGCAATAAAATATAGAGATTATAGGCTGCAAGGTGGATTAATTCAGAAGATTAATTTGAAAGAAAATTATCCTAAGTCAATTCTCTGTTCTTGTCACCAGATTATGTTGTTCCAAGACCTAGACAGGAAGGATATGGGCAAATAAGACTGAGAAGTAATAAAATGCTTACACTGTATTATCTTGTTTTATTTCTAAATGCCCTTCCTCTGAGTTGGGACTGTAGTTCTGTGATAGATCACTTTTTTGTATGTGTAAGGCCCTGGGTTTGATCCTCAGCATTACAAAAAAGAAAGAGGAGGAGAAGCAGCAAAAACAGAGGAGGAGGTGGAAGAGGTAGTGATGAAGAGAAGGAGGAGGAGGGGGAGGGGGGCAGGAGGAGGAGCAGGAGGAGAACTAAATGCCTTTCCTCTAAAGAATTTAAGTTTTGAGACTTCCAGGTAGGCAAGGGGATGGCAAAAGAAAGAACTATACATTTCCCTAGTCCCACATAATATCAAGCACAAGTCAATCATATATTAGATGCTCAGTACATATAAACAATAAAATGCCTACTTCATATGCTACTATAAGCACTAAATGAGGGCCAGAGAGCTGGCTCAGCCTTTAAAAATGGCTCAGGCTCACAGCCAGTAAAAGGACCAAATGAGCTGATGCATGAATAATGCTTAGAATGGCGCTTAGCATGTACTGAAGGAACAATATGCAGTTTCTTTTATTGTTGTTGTTTTACAACTATTTTAATATTTTATTAATTATTCAAGAATTTTATACAATGTATTTTGATCATATCGCCCCTTTCCCAACTCCTCCCAGATCCACACCCACCTCAATACCCACCCAACTTCATGTCCTTTTACCCCCCAAATTGAGTCTGGTATGTGTTGCCCAAATATGCCTGTTTTGGGGGTGATGTATATATGCATGTGTATATGCAGGTGTACTCACACACAATAATGTTGTGTGTGCATATAGAGTCCAGAGGTCAATGCTGGTGTCTTCCTCAATCTCTTTCCACCTATTTTTTGAGACAGGTTCTCCCACTGAATCTGGAGCTTCCTGATCAGCTAGCCAGCAAGCCTCGGGGAGCCACAATCCACATGTCCCATCTTCCTAGTGCTGGAATTACAGGCATACATTGTCATACTTGCCTTTTACAAGGGTTTTGGGAATCCAAATTCAGGTCCTCAGGCCTGTAGGATAGGCACTTTTACTGACTAAGCCATCTTCCCAGTCTCTTTTGTTTTCTTTGATTAAACCTCTTCCAATACTCTGAGAAGTCATTTGTACAGAAATAAGCACATGACTCTATGACTTAAGAATATGGCATACAGCAGGATGGATATAACTATAAGGGAGGAATATGATGGTTCTCTCCATAAAGAAATTATTAAAAATTAAGGTAATAGATAGGCTGACTACCATTAGTTGATTCACTACATAAATCAGAACATCAAATTGTACCTCATAAACATATACAAATATTGTGTCAATAAAAATGCATTGAATTTTTAAAACGAAGACATTTCATTGATCCTACCTAGTAGAAGTTGCCTTACAGTAGATGTAGATGTTAGCTTCTGCGTCAAAATTAAACTGGTCTTCTGAAACAGGGACTCGGGTTGATCCAAAAGGAGCCTAAAGTAAGCTCTGGCTATGTCACCTGATGTTGACTGACCTCTTTGTGCCCTCTTATTCCACAAAAAACTAGAAATATTGGTAATTTTGCATCATTCGTGAGGTTACAGTCCACAGAGTCCATTTCCATGATCCTGATCCAATTATTACATTCATGTCTTTTTTATTTAAATAAAATGGGTTTCTTTGATATTAGCTACTTAAAAATTTACATGCACAGCAGGTATCCTGAGTGATTGCTAAAGAACTTGCCCTATCTTTAGTTTGGGAATTTTTCATTGTGAAGCTTATGCATCTGTTTGTCTTATGCACAGGGAAGATCAGTGACCTTAAAGACAATGATTCATTTATATATTGAACTGTATTTTTTAACAAGATCTCTTCTTTGGAAAAATAGAGGATTTGATTTTGAACACTATAATGGGGATATTTTCCAATGATTGCCTACTACAGTAGAGTATTTTCAGGTAAAATATTCAGCTTTTATCCAGCATTTATGAAGTGCCCAAATGCAGAATATAAACAAAACAAAACTTTCCTAATAAGGAGAAAGCAGGTCTTTTGTCCATTAGGTTTCGCTATAAAACAAGGCAGTTTTACCTTCTCTGAGATAAAACTAAAATGCTGAAATAGTAACATTTTTCTTCACCAAATTTCCGTTTGCCCTAACAATGTCTTACATGATTAATATTGATTTCAAAATACACAAAATGTGCTTTATATAAAGCTAGAAGTTAAATTAAATTTAAAATGCAACTCTTGGACAAGAGTATATTCTAAACTATCTTTCTAAGTAACTTATTTGTAATCACAGCAACCAGTATTTGCAGCTTTGCAACTGGGACAGTTAAAAGATGGTTGGGACAGTTAGAGGGCTGTTCTAAAGAAGTTCATACAACAATGTTCCACTTGAGGAAACAAGCAGTAAATATGAGAGCTGTAGAACAAAACTGTGCATTCAGAATTCAAATACCCGAATTATGAAGTTTGGGGGAAATTCTGAGCCTAAAATTTAATTCTGAAAAATAAGCACTAGCTCTTAGGTTAAACATGTAAGATATATTTCTTGCTTTTCATTTGAAGCTTTGGTTGTTAGCCTTAGCCTTTGATGGCTGTGCCATCTCTCCAGCTCATTTTCCTGCTTTTCAAATAATTGAAAGTAGTATCTAAGGTCCACACATTTCTTTCAAAAGGACTTACACATGGCATAGTATAAAATGTCCTTAAGTGAGTTCCTGAGGCATTACAACTTTATTGGAACACATAGAAAATAAGATATTGAAGTAATACACTTTGAAACCCTTTAGATATATTTATTTTTCTTAATATAGAATAATTTTGAATATTTATGTCTGACCAATCATTGAATTAAATTGTAACAATTCACAAAGCAGAGTGTTTCCTTTCAGTCTTTCCCTTTGATACATTTGGTGTTTGTGGTAAATGTGTATGGTCATATGGTTTATGTTCATTATGCGTAAGACACAAAAAACTGCTTTATTGTAACAACCCCTATACTTGTGAAATTGAAAATGTATGAATCTAGAACCAGCTTGCAGGTAAAAGTATAAAAACTACTAAGAAGCCTGGATGTACCTATTTTAAGGTTTCTAACAAATGTATAAAACTTTTTTCTACTTCTAAAGAAGCCTATTAGCTTTCTGTGTTCTATAATTCCTTGTTTCCACCATAGTTAATGATTTTGGTTCATATGCAGTGAGTTTATTAAAATGAATGAGGAGAGTTTTGTGGTTGCAGAAATGCCACTCAACATTTTGTACTTTTTCTGACACGACATTTTCTTTCTTTAGAGCTGTTTCATGTTAAAGCATTGCATTTATCGGCCAATTACAGTACAAAGTAGTAGGAGAATAATGGTAAATTTGTGAGGAAAATAGAACAGCAAAATGGAAGCATCTGTGGGATCTTTTTTCAGGAGACTTCAAGAGCCTGAAAAGCAAAATTATTAAAGCTGCATTGAAAAAGGTACTTCACCTTATAGAGTAGTTAATTGACCTACCTAATGAGGTGGAAAATAGATTATGTTGGGAGAGAGGTATTTAATGAAGCAACCCTAGAAATTCTCCACACTGAAAAAAAAAATCCTTGGCAACCAAGCCTTTGTCAAATTGTCCTTCACTGTGTAGTTATTTATCTTACGTTTATATAATGGATGAAAGCTGTATTTAAATCCGTTGTTAAATTAGGTTGGAAATAAGAAAATTATATATTTCCTTTACTCCATCTGTGCCTGTAGTAATACTGATATAACTATAAAAGTTCAGTTGCATAGCTTTTATACTTTGTTAGTATTTTATTGTGTATGTAAAAAGGCTAAATATGTCCTTATTAAAATAATTTGATGTTATTATTATTCTTAAATTTTGGTAATGATTATGTAGTCATAATATCCTTAAGAAATTGAAGATTTAACATGAATTTTAGTGGTTAATTTTTAAATAAATGAATGATCAAACCATAAGGAGAAAGCACAAGCTTTCCATATCAGAAAAGGGAATTTGATCCCTTACATAATAGAAATAATTTAACCTATAAGACTTAAAGATTTAAAAATCTAAAAGAGAAACTTTATACAATATTGACTTGTTAGGGGAAATGAATTTTTAAATGTTTTTATTTTATAGAATCTGATGCAATTAAAATTCAGAACAAGTAAAATTCCCTTGTCAATTTGTACTAAAGAGTAGTTGTCTCCATCAGCCTGTAAATCTGTTGGCATATGGATTTCACCCATGAGCAAATAAGTTCTGGTAGATGAAAGTACTAAATGGTATCAGTTGAACATACTTGTTCATGAATGATTGGAAGTTCTGATGAAAAATGAGCACGTTAGAGAGTGAGAAAGGAGAGAGGGAGAGAGGCAGAGAGAAAGAGACAGAGGGAGGTAGGGGAGGAGGGAGAGAGAGAAGAGACAAAAGGATCTGGAGGGAGAGAAGAGGGGAGGTAGAGACAAGAGGGAGAGAGGAAAGAGAGGGGAAAAGAGTGAGAGAGAAAGGAAAGGATGGAGAGGGGGACAGAGCAAGATAGGGGCAGAAAGAGGGGGAAGAATGGAGAGCGGAAAGAGGAAGGGAGGGAGAGAGAAGAGAGGGAGAAATGAGAAAAATAAAGAATAGGAGAGAATGGAGAAAGAATGAGAGAAAGGGAGAGAAGGGGAAGTGATGGAGGGGAAAGAGAGGGAAGGATGGGGAGAGGGAGAGAGGAAAGATGGGGAGAAGAGAGGGAAAGAGAGAGAGGAAGGATAGAGAAAGGAGGAGGGAAGAAGGGAGGGAGAGATGGAGAAAGAGAAAGGGAGGGAGGGGAAGAGGGAGAGAGAGAGAGAGAGAGAAACTGCTTTTAAAATGTCATTGTTAAATTGTGTTTTAAATCTTTATTAATCCAGTCATCAGAATGGACTACAAAGCAAAGACTTCTGCCTTAATTTGAAGCCCATACTTTGAGAGCAAAAGAGATAGTTAATGTTAAGTTGCTTAGCACTACTGAGTAGACATTTTAAATCTCTTAAAGGGATAACTATTCCTTATACACCAAATCTAAGAAAATATTGTTTCCTAATAGATAGAATTCATATTTCTTCATGACTCCAAAACAGTTTTCTCTCAAAATGATTATCTTTAATTTACTAAAATAATTATTCATAAATAAAACATCTCTTAATACCACTTTAAAACTTGGCCAAGAAATGATGTCACAGAATTATGACATAGTGAGTGTTCTTTTAACAAGAACTTCCACAGAACAGTCAGCTGAGGACTTCCTGAGGTCCAGAGAGGATCTCTCTTGGGCGTCCTCACTCGCTCTACTTTGAAAACAATCATATTTTCTTTTCTGTTTTTCATTCAGGTGTTTATTTTGTTGATTAATGTCATCTACACATGAAGTGTTTCAAGCAGGAAAGTATTTTAAGTTTAAATATTTCGGTTTAAAGATTTACATTAGGTTGAAGCTGTTTGGTTTAGTATCTATGACAGTTAAGGTAAATATCTATATTCATAACACATTTGAAGGGCACTACTTAATTCTTACAGCTATCTAAACACTATGAAGTCTTATTTACAATTAATATCATAGACTGGAAATCAATTCTTTGAGCTAAATATAAGTAACTCAAATAGTCAATGACTTGTTTAACTAAACCGTTATTCATGATGTTTAATGTGCTGTCTTTATTTGTCTTCAAATGAATGAAGAGAAAATGATCAAGCAGAAACCCCTGGACTCCCCACTTTGTTCTGCCATTTATGAAGATCAACGATTACTTTAAATGTTGTCATAAATTAGTACCACTTAAGTAAAACATTTCTAGAAACAAACATTAAGGTTGATTTTCTCAGAAGTTATTTGGTCAACTTTTATTTAAAACTATCACTCCAACCTCATTTGATTAATCTTTAAGGTATTGTTTGTTTCTTTGTTTTAGAAACATCACTTAATGTGAATGCCAAGCCTTTTCGACCTGATGGAGCATCATCTTGCATCCACTCTTTCTGAAATACCTCCAATAGTTCCATTTATCAAGGGAGAGGTCATGCAGCCTGTAAGAGTAGTTTTGCTTCTTTTTACTTTCACTGTAACTGGTTAAAATGATATTAAATCTGGTCTTAGTTTTTAGAAAGTGTGTCACTTTTATGGTCATTTACTTGGGAAGTTTTTTGTCTTTGTACCATCATAGATTATCTTCCTTGTATGCCTTTTTGAAATCACTTGAGACATTTAACACCAGCTTATTCAATATAAAACTTCATTTTGAATTAATTTAGCTGCAGCTTCATTTAGAATTAATTTAGCTGTTTTATTGATGCTTGAACAGCTTGTAGAAGGCCTAGTCCTACATCTTCAAACTTATACTACCTTCAGTCTCACAAGATACATATTTTTAAATTATGGGTCTAATGAAGACTAAAGTTCCTTCAGACTCATCCACTTATGAGTTCAACTAATATTTGAAAGCATTGTATTTGAATAGCAATTATATCTAGGTTTAAGCTTGCTTTCTAGAAAGAGTATACTCAAGTTTTAGCACTTGCTTCTTTAACAGTTTCAAGAGAAAGCCTAACAAGGTATAATGTAAAAAGATGACTAAATTTTCTTTTCTCAAACTTAAAAAAATGAGCCAAGACTGTACTTTATCTTAACAAAACAGACAAAAATTATTGCAATATATGTACATATGAAAATGTCACAATAAAACTAATTTTTTTGGTCTTTTTGAAACAGGGTCTTCCTGTAGCCCCAGCTGTCCTGGAACTCACTATGTAGACCAGGCTGGCCTTGAACTCACAGAGATCCTCCCGCCTCTGCCTCCCAAGTGCTGGGATTAAAGGCATGCGCCACCATGCCCAGCAATAAAACTAATTTTTATGATTAATGCACGCTAATAAAAATGTTTTTATTTCTAAAATGGCAGAGGTAAAATTCCGTTGTAATTATAATTACTTTTTATTAGATGGAGAGTTATCTTCTGGAACCCAATGCCATGGCACAATGTTCTACTAATTATTCAAAGATTATGACTCATCCCAAGATGTACACCACCTGGCCTGATTATTCCCAGCCCTGGGCACAAGTATGTCTGAATTTTACCTTCATATAAATTTTATTTTCTGTTTTTTGTTTGTAGAGGTTTTATTTGGGGGAAGGATGCAGAAGAGATGGATATACCTCAATTCACCTATTTTCTATGACCTTAATATGTAAATTTTACTTGGTGAGGGAATGGTCTATTCTTATTAAGAGGTAATGAATTTCTCCTAACTGCCCATTGATCCAGTTGTACTATTGCTTTGAACGTTTTGAAGTCTCCAGAATTAGGGGGTCTGAATATTATCCAAAAGGATAATAATTACTTTTTCCATAGTTTAACAAAAAGTATGGCATTAAATAATTATTTATTTCTAGATGATATTCATTCAAGTTAACCCTGGAGAGATCCTCACCATAAAGGCTGATGATGGGTCCATTCAGAACATTCAAGGTTTGTTAAAGTATAATTAGATGTGTTATTTTACAACCAGTGGGTTTAAATATTATTATAAAATTATTAGCAATTCAAAACCATCTCTTGCTGTTTGGCTAGAGTGAATACTCTTAAAATGAAATAATCCTCATAGGAACTTAGCATCAATAGAACAACCAGTGCTAATCTTGCTAATGTTTCTAGAAATCTTTGAAAGTAAGGTACTTTTATAATGTGAAAGGAAATTAATTGAAGAAATGCATTTAAAGAAGTTCAGACATTGGAAATATTGGTTGCTACCTGTAGTTTTACTTTTGACTTTAATATGGAAATTTAATCAATTATCTTACAATATGACTTATATGAAAGTTTTAAATTTAATAGTAAAATCTTTGAAAAAGTTAATGTAGCACAAGTAATACACAGGACTATCCTTTCTGTCTGTTGAGATGTGTGGCCTATTTGTCAAGCTGTAGAATATCAAAAGGCAAAAAAATTCTGTTTTGCATATACTTTCAAAGTTTGTATCAAAGTATAAGGTCAAAAATAGGTAAGCTGAAATTTTTGGGTATGTAAAATAGATGTATAGTGTGTATAGAACTGAATAATGTCTGAATATATAGTGGCATATATCCTTACAAAAGTTAAATTCAAGTTCACTGAATTTATAGATCATTACAACTGATAAACAGAATGCAATATAAATTGTTCAAGTGTTATATTATCACATAGTCTCCTTTTAATAGTCTTTTTCCCTCTTTTTAAAAAATATTAAAAATCTGGCTGGACATGGTGGCACACGCCTTTAATCTCACCACTCGGGAGGCAGAGGCAGGCAGATCTCTGTTAGTTCAAGGCCAGCCTGGAATACATAGTGAGTTCCAGGACAGCTGGGTCTACAGGGAGACCCTGTCCCAAAAAGACAAAAAATATTAAAAATCTATGCATATATTTTTATTTTAATGACTTCATAAACATATACAGTATATTATGATCATGCCCTAGCACTCTCTCTTGTTCCCCTCCCCTGATCCCTTTCCTCTTCCCTACTAGTCCTTCTACTTTTATGGGGGGTTTGGTACCTTGTTGAGTTCAATTAGGGTTGTTTGCATGAGCATGAGCAAAGGGTTATCTATAGGAACATGGGCATCTTAGCAATGACTACACCACTGAAGAAAATGTCTGCCCCTTCCAACAACCATGAACTGCCAGTAGTTCCTCAGGGAGGAGCGAAGGTTTGGAGAGATCCTCCCATCTAGGAACTGTTAACTGCCTATAAATCTTCAAGGACTATATATACATTTTAATTTTTAAAAACACTCTGCTAAAATGTAACATTTTATGTGAACCACCAATTTGCATAGTCTATAGCAAAAAATCAGATATATATGATATAAATATGTATCGATGAGGAATAGTGAGTGTTTGAATGATCATAGTTTTAGACTATTCTACAGATGAGGCCTTCAGACAGCTCTTTTTTTTGGCTTTTTGAGACAGGGTCTCCCTGTAGTCTCAGCTGACCTGAGCTCACTATGTAGACTAGGCTGGCCTTGAACTCATAGCGATCCGTCTGCCTCTGCCTCCTGAGTGCTGGGACTAAAGGCGTGCACCACCAAGCCCGGCTGGACAGCTCTTTCATTCATGCATTCAAAAAATATTTCTTTAATGCCTAGCATGCACCAGTACTTTTCTAGACAGTTAGGAGTAATAATGTCCAAGAGAGAGATGGCAAATATAAACTATTATATATGGAATTATATATTTTAATTTATATATGTTTTATTATGTACAAACCAGAAATTTAAAAGTCAATAATAAGCTTTATTATTGGCTACTTTAAATTAAGATGACTTTGCTATTTTGCTAATTGTTTCATATCCTATAGTGATTTTGATCTACTGTTGTCCCAGGGATGACAATAACAAGCCAGAGACTCAGTGGTAAAAATATTGAACAGACACAGAAAATGCTGATTGAAGTAAATACACTGCAGAAATAGAGACACAGTGGGCAAATTTTCAGAGAGAAAATCACTCCCTGAAAGGGAATGGGAGCTCTTTTACATAGTTTAGGAAAGTTATTTTGTCATATCTCATGTGCCATTTGTGTGTGTGTGTGTGTGTGTGTGTGTGTGTGTGTGTGTGTGTGTGTGCGTGTGTGTCTATATTTGGATTTACATAAGCAGTAAATTTCATAGCACCTGTCATCTTTGGGATTAACCATTTGGGGTAAAGCACCATAGATCATTAGGAATTAGACTTCAAATATTTGTATAAGGTCTCACAAGGCACTGTGCTCAAGACTTCAAGTAGTGAGGGCCTGATTGTTAAAATGTGGGGATTTCTGCTTTCATTTCTGACCTTTTTATTTCTAAATTCCTTCCCTGCCAGATCAGCAAGCTCAAATCATTGACAAGGGGCAAAAATCATCTTCTGAAGCATCTTCGGAGCTCAGAAAGGGTGTCATAGGGATCTCGTTGATGTTGTTGATCTGACTGATATCAGGCTGTAAGACCAAGGGTAAAGCACAGAAGGCTTGAGAAACATTTTGGAGAGGGGTGGGGGTGAATGACTACCTCAGGCAGTTCAAAATCTAACAGTAACATCAACTTGGAGATTCAGAAGTCCTTGAAAGTGGAAGACAGACACTGATATCAATGGTAATGTTAACAGCAAAATGGCCCTGGGACAATACTATGGGAGATTAATGGCCTATAATCTGGAAAATTATAATCAGAAGGTTAAATAAGCAAGGGCCCAAAAAGTTAAGAATTATATCAGTGAGTGAACCCAAGAGAGGAATTAACCAGGAAAGCCAGTCCCGTGTGTCCTTCCAAAGGAGCCAGCCCTCAAAGAATCTCTCTCTTAGGTCAGATAGTCTTTTAGATTTATCTCAAATTAGTTAGCGTGTACATGGCTTTTCTGCCTCAGGGCCAGGCAGGTACTCTTTGGATTCAAAGTAAGAAAGTCTTCAGCTGAGGGCTTTGAAGTGCTACTGAAACAAGAGCATCAAACTGGTCCTGACAGCCCTTGAAGGCTGGTGAGATGTGATCAAGTCCCATGGCCTAATTCAGCCTAGGAGCTATTATAAGCATAAGAATTCAATCTGAGTACACTTATTTTGGTACCTATCCTCCTACTACAAAGGACATCACATGAACAGCTCTTCTAGGTTGAGAGATTCCAAAAAGAGGTGCAGGGAGGGGTTGATTGTAAGGGATAACTTAGATATCAGGAAAAGTGAATATACTGGTACAGGTACCAGGCTAATTAGCCAGAAGACAGCCAGAGGCCTTAGTTCCACATAGGAAGAAAGCTACTAAGGAGTTAAGGCATGTGGTAACATCTAGATAGTAAACTAAATGATTAGGGTTTTTTAAAGTGAGAAAGTTGAGGTATAAAAGAAATAGTGAGGAGCCAAGACCATTCCAAGAAGAGGTTGAAGTGGAAGGATTTCATGTTGGAGTACTGAGACTCTTATTTTTCTAATGCTAGCAGAATGTTGAGAGATCAGTTGGGACCCATTGTTGGTCATCCCCAGAGAAGAGGGAATGAGAAGGGCTTTCTGAGATTCTTGCCAAGGAGACATACTGGGACAAGTAAGTGGCAGGCCTGGTGGAATTGGGAGATTTTCTTTAGAGTTTTGTTAGAAGTATTTGAGAGCACATGCTTAGGAGAGCTGTATGTTGTATTGGTTTCGGGGTATTTGAGAAAGAGAAAGATGTTTCTTTTGTCTTATCTCAGAGGAGAGTGAAGTTGCATGGTGAAAGGATGCCCACGGGAATGGACTAGTCCCTGTGGTCAACGGCCTTAATAAAAATGGAAGCCTGCCTTAAGAGGCCATCTTGTATGCAAGGGGATGTGAGAAAATGAAATTTATGTTTATATTTAGCCATGAGAGTGTTAGAAATCGTCCAACATGATAGGATGGTAGGTGTTCATTGGAAATATATATGGAGGGAGATTGTTAGTTGGACCCATTGAATGGAGTGGCTAGGTAATCACTATCAATTCAGTTAGGAGCTAAAGGACAGGCAAACAAAGTAGTCCTCTGAAAAGGTAGAGTTGTATTATTTGAGGAGATCATGGGCCTTTTTGAGAAGAAGATAAGGAAAATTGACTGTAGGAGCTAGGAACAGGATTAGAAGGATGATGAAAGTCACAATGGTTAAAGGTGATGCCACAAGATGATTTTAGGAAGACAGATAAGACATAGGATAATAATGACTACGAAGATGATAAGAAATCCTATACACAGATAGGAAACCAGCAATAAGGAGTAAAGATGGAGATCATGGTCAAGGTAGGTGACTACCACAGTCCAGGAATAATCTAAAAAAGTCCCTGTGACCCTCAAGATGGCTAGGCACGTAGGAATGCCTGCATTGCAAACCTGACAACCTGAGTTCAATTCCCAGAGCCTACAATGGAAGAAGGGAACTGACTCCCAAAAGCTGTCCTCTGACCTACACACATACACACACACACACACACACACACACACACACACACACACACACCATCCACACAAAAAAGTTAAATAAATAAAACATTTCCCAGAGGAAAAGGCCTAGTATGAATTTCCTAAATTGAGTTAGGTCTTAGAGAATATCAAGGCAATAAGGGGGAAAAAGCTTGTAAGATTATATCATAGACCCAGAAAGGCAAGAGAAAACTGGTTTTATTAATATCTAAAGGAATTTAAGGGTCTGTTTCATCTGAGCAAAATGTAAATGGAGACAGAAATTTTCACGAGGCTCATGAAAGCAGGCCCTTTGAGCTTTAAAAGTGGAACAGTGTTTACTCTGGAGAGATGAACCCATACAAAATAGTCTATAGAGTTTGACAAGAGCAGCGCTTGATAAAGTCTAGCCCAACCAAACTCCAGTGGTCTTTTAACCTGCAGGTGGGTCTTAAAATAGATTCATCTCCTGGGCTAATGTGAGAAACATTGCTCTTCACTTCATAATAATAACACTGTAGACTCAGACTCAGACTAACAAAAGCTAGGAGCTA